CTGATACTAGGGAGGTGTATCAATAGCGGGGCGGGGGGGGTGGAATTCGTTTTGAACCTGGAACAAACTACTGAATTCTAGAGGTTCTGCTGAAATATTTCATGTTAGCCAGAACCAAAATCCAGAACACTTTGTTTAAAATGAAACAAAATCTGGATGGCCAGAGTAGGTCAAGGCTGGTGTGTTCTTCCCCCTCTCTTCCTCTTTCCTTCAGTATTCCCAGTGGGACATATCGCACTAACCTGCTTGTTCCCAATCTTATCAGCACCTTCTCTTCCTTTATGCAACTGTCACCAATGTCTCATACGTATACCATTGGCCCACCTGCCCTCAATCTTCCCAGCACCTTTCCCCCTCCCCTCAGCTATTGCCACTGATGTCCCAGCGCAGCATGTCCCACTGGACTGCGCGCCTGCCTCTGATTTTCCCAGGATATTTCCTCCTTCCATCCCTTCAACCACTCCTGTCAAGGTCCCATCCCAGCATATCCCACCACTCCACTTGCCGCACATCTTTCCAGCATGCTCCTCCTTTCTACTGCCTCACCTCAGCAGATGACATCCTTGACTTTTTGCCCGCTCCTCCCAAACCACTTTTGCCTGGAACAAAATAGCCCCATTTCATTCTGGGCATGACCTAAAACACCCCAACCTGGTTTGACACAGGCCAAAACAGCTCTTCTGCATGCAAAATAGCTCATGAGTGAAAAGTTGGGAGTGCATAGGGAGCATCCCTATGATTAACATTAACCTCTCCTTCACATTGCTTTTATAATCAAAGTTAAGTTTAAAAGCTGTACTAAAATTTCAATTGTCATTACATCAGCATAATACTTGTTCATTCATTGTTCAATCTGTTTAGCACAACATAATATAATTATTTTTGATTAACTAAAAAAAACAAGTGAATTTACAAAAAAAAAAAAACAGAAATGAACCATATAATTCAAAAAAATGTAATCAACTGGGTAGATGTTTTTTATTAATTATTTTTGGTATAAAAAGCCTACATCTGAGACTGAGAAACACTGGCACTATAGGTTTTATAAATAATGAAATTGGGGTAGTAAATTCTCTCGAGACCTTATATAGAAGGTTAATGATTTTTAAATGCAGCTTTAGCATGGACAGTGGTAGATTTAAAAGTAGGCATACAGAGTAGAAAACTCCAGTCGCTGAAGCACCAGAATTACATCTGTAAAATGATAACAGGTATACATTTACATTTATGTTACATTTATAATAATAAATTATGAGCCACTTGCAGTCCTTCACTCAATGCAGTGAAGTTGATACTAGGGAGGAGTGCATCCCCTTGTCAAGTATTTCCTTCAAACCACCTATTTGTTCCTGAGATATGCTCTTGCAAGGCTTTCTTTGTGCTGCACCATCGAAAGGCATAAAAAACAGCATAAGAACTACAGGTAGTCCTTGTTTAACGACCATTCATTCAGCAACTATTCGAAGTTACGGTGGTGCTGAATGAATGGTAGTTACAACCAATCCACGAAGTTCGAGCCTTTGCAGTTACCCCAGTCGTGTGATCAAAATTCAGGCACGTGGCAGCCCACCCGCACTTACAACCACAGGGGTGCTTCAACTCTCCCACCCACCTATCTTTCCCCATCTATACCCTTTTGGCCACCCTGCACTCTACCACATACCCCTGCTGCTCCCTGCCACCACCGCCCCCATCCAACTTTCACCATCTTTTTCCTCCTGCTGCTGGCCCAGAATCCAGGCGTTGGGCAAGGGTGCAACCCTGGGATGCACATGGTGAGCGTGGCAGGGCAGCAGAAACTTGTCTGCCAAAGGGAGCTTGCCAGGACCAGCCAGGGAAGAGGCAGCAGATTGGAATGGCAAGGCACAGTGCTCTCCATCACCAGGCGAGGCAGGGGAGGCAGCAGTGCCTCCTCGAGTGAAGGGGGAGGCTGTGCTGGAGGCGCTGTTTGGGGTGCTGGCAGAACTGAAGGAAGGGGAGGGACAAGGGCTCCCAGAAGCACAGTGCACGCTCTGCAGTTTGCACTGGAAGTGCTCCTGGAGACCTGGCCTGCAGGCTTCAGCAAAGGATGGAGACGAGCCCAGCGCTAGCAGAGCCTACCCACAGGCCCTCTACTCACTCTCGACCCAACCTGCCTCCTGCAAAGCCTTGTGAAGGGCCAGCAGCTTCCAATGTGCTGAAGCCCACATACCAGTTCTCCAGAGGCATGTGCTGTGCAGCTACATTGGAAGTAGTTCTAGAGAACTGGACTGTGGGCTTCAGTGAGGGGTAGAGGCAAGCCCAGCACCAACAGAACCTACCCACAGGCCCTCTGCTCACTCTCGCCCCAGCATTCCTCCTGCAAAGTCTCAGGGAGGGGCAGGGGGCAGCGGCAGAATACAGGAAGGCCAAAAACACAGAGATAGGGGGAAAACAGGTGAGTGGAGGGAGTTAAAGCAGAGGTGAGTGTGGCAGGGCAGGAGAAGCATGAGGTCCTTGCCTAACAACAGTGCAGTCCTGGCCTAACGACTGCAACTGGGACTACTGAAACTGCCATCACTAAGTGATATGGTCATGTGATGTTTCACCTAATGATTGCTTCACTTAGCAATGGAAATTCCGGTCCCAATTAGGGTTGTTAAGCAAGAACTACCTCTATTCAAGAATGATTGCTATGTTTTTGTCTTTGTGATAAAAGGTGAAGAGTCCTTTGGTTGAATTTGGCTCCTGATGACTACATGTACTGCACATTTTTTCAACAACAATATGGAAGTGGTTTGCCATTGCCTTGTTCCCAGGTCTAAACCTGCTTAGCTTTTCTGAGATCAGCTAATGTTGGCTTGGTACTGCCATTAGGAGATAAAGCTAAAACCTAAACAAGCTTTTAAAACTCTAAAAAGAGAAATATCAGGTTCAAATTCTTAATTTTGTCTTCTCTAATGATATAATTATCTTGCACACTAAAGAAATGGAAATAAAAAAGAGCTGTTGACACAAAAAGGTTGTCTGCTCCTTTTCTAGCTTACAATGTACCTTACTTTCACACAATGAAATCAGTATAAATTCAAGCTCAGAAAGGCTTTGTATGTGGCACTGTTTCCTCATATGGTAAAATACAGGTAGTCCCCAGGTTAAGAACACCAAGTTTACAGATGGACCCACAGTTAAGAACAGAGCCTACTGTAGCAAAATTTGAGTTAAATACACAATGGTTCGAGTTAATTACACCATACTACTCATACAGTATTATACAATAACGCTGTTCTGGTTTACATACAAATTCGACTTAAGGACAGGCCTTGGCAACTGAACTTGTTCTTAAACTGGGGACAGCCTGTACCTTTGATTCTTGAATTCTTTTTTGCTACCTTTTTTAAGTATATACTATTTATATTGCCAGTAGATTATTCACATCTCAGAAATGTTTGCATTTATTGAACTACAAAAAATATATGCCCAAGCAATATACAGTGGTACCTCGGGATACAAACGCCTCTACTAACGAACTTTTCGGGTTACGACCAGTTCCGGCCGCAAAGATTTACCTCGATGTGCGAACTCCGCCTCGGGGTACGGTCATTTTTCCACCCTGACATGTGGTCCGCGGCCATTTTTCCGCCCGACATGTGGTCCGCAGCCGTTTTCCTGCCGCGCTGCGCGGCGCCCGGCCGTTTTCCTGCGGCGCCCGGCCGTTTTCCCGCCACTTTGCATGGCACCCGGCTGTTTTCCCGGCGTGCTGCACCGCATGGCGCCCGGCCGTTTTCCCGCCCCTGACGCGTGGTCCGTGGACGCCAGAACGGATTAACGGTAATTACATTGAACCTTATGG